TGGGGGGCCACGTGCGAACCCTCCCCCTCAGAAATCGTGGGGGGTTAGGGGTAGTGTTCGCAAGTGGCCCCGTATCTAGACCACACCCCCACACCCCCTTCCGACCTCCAGAAGCACGCTGTGCCCATCCACTCATCGCGTCCGCCCCCTCTCGGGCCCCGCGCGGCGGCGAGCGCCCGCCTCGCCGCAACCAGCACGCGCATCAATAACGTAGGTGCCGACACAGAGAGATACAGTCCCCGTCGCCTCCACCTGCCTCCGCTTCGTCGCTTCCGTTTGCCCCCTTCCAGCGCGCGGAGAGAGACGATGCCGCCACTTCTGCTGCAATCGTTGACCGCTGGAGGCCGGATCCCGGCCCCAGGAGCATCTAGGGGAACAACAAATTCTTCACGCTTCGCGTATCCCCACCAGCCCATCTCAAAACAGCAACTCTTGCGAAGCATGCCGACAGTCGTGTTTTTCATGCGTGTTTCCGCCTGCCCCCGCATATCTCCCCTGTTCCTCCTTCCTCCCGCCTCCTTGTACATCCTCCTTGTGGTGGGAGCGGGAGAAGGACGAGGCGGAGGAGGAGGGAGAGAAAGCGCTCCTCGTGATTTGAGTCGTTTGGGGTTTCTCGTCCTGGTGTGAGTCGTTCGGGCCCTTCTTCCTGGTGTGAGTCGTTCGGGCTCTTCGTGGTGTGAGTCGTTCGGGCTCTTCGTCCTGGTGTGAGTCGTTCGGGCTTCTCGTGGTGTGAGTTGTTCGGGCCCCTCGTCCTGGTGTGAGTCGTTCGGGCCCCTCCTCCTGGTGTGACTCGTTCGGGCTCCTCGTGGTGTGAGTCGTTCGGGGCCCTCGTCGTGGTGTGAGTCGTTCGGGCTCCTCGTGGTGTGAGTCGTTCGGGCGCCTCGTCCTGGTGTGAGTCGTTCGGGCCCCTCCTTCTGGTGTGAGTCGTTCGGGCTCTTCGTGGTGTGAGTCGTTCGGGCCCCTCGTCCTGGTGTGAGTCGTTCGGGCTCCTCGTGGCGTGAGGCGTTCGGGCACCTCGTCCCCTTTTGGGGCGTCTTGGGGGCCTCTTGGCGGCCCCAGGGGCTTCTAGGAGCGTCTTGGGTGCCTTGGGGGAGCCTCTTCGGGCCTCTTGGGAGCCTCTTGGAGGCCGTTTGGGGCGTCTTGGGGGCCTCTTGGCGGCCCCAGGGGCTTCCAGGAGCGTCTTGGGTGCCTCGGGGGAGCCTCTTGGGGCCTCTTGGGGGCCTCTTGGGGGCATCTTGGGGGCCTCTTGGAGGCCTCTTGGGGGCCTCCTGGGGGCCTTTTGGGGCCATCTTGGGGCCTCTTGGTGCCTCCTGGGCGCTTCTGGGGGCCATCTTGGAGGGAATGGATCAAAGAAGAGGGGAGCTTTAATGAGCGCTGCCCCCTCAGAAGGGCAAACTGAGCCCAAAACCTTCGTAAAATCAATGATTTTGCCTTGAAGGAAGAGAGGAACTTTAATGAGCGCTGCCCCCTCAGAAGGCCAAAATGGGGCCAAAACCGTAGTAAAATCAATGATTTTGGCTTCAAAGAAGAGGAGAGGGTTTTTTCTGCCTCCCCCCGTCGGGGCCAGAATCCTCGTGAGGGGTGTCGTTTTTTAGCCCTCCCAGGAGTCGAAAAAGGCCCCTCCAACGACCCGCGAAACCCCCTCTCCAGGTCCAGGGGGAAGGGGTAGGGGGAGGGGTAAAACCCTCCCCGAAGGGGAAGAAGGGGGTTGAGAACAGAGCGGGCTCTCTAAACCACTCACGCCCAAAGGGCTGGTGGGATTACATAAACATAAGAATTCGGAGGTCCGACCGGATTTCTCGGATCGGCGCCTCCGGCGCCGCTCCTGGCGCGCTCTGCGCGCCAGGGAGGGGGGTCCAGCGCCGATCCGAGAAGTCCGCGCGGACCTTGGAGTTTTTATGCTCGTGTGACGTTTCGTTCCCCTGGCATCGCAGCCGAACCCGGGATCCGAGAAGTCCGCGCGGACCTTGGAGTTTTTATGCTCGTGTGACGTTTCGTTCCCCTGGCATCGCAGCCGAACCCGGGCAGAAAACAGCCTTGGCAACGCCGTCGAGGCCTCCCGGGGCCCCCACGCGTCGAGCGCACCGAGGCGGCCGCGTGCCCCTGCGGAGGGCTGCGGCCGCGAGCGCCCTGCGCACGAGCAGCAGCGCTCGGCCCGCCGGAGCCCGGGGACCGCCGGGCCTCGTCGAGTGCCAGCCCTCCCAGCTGCTGCCCCTGGGGGCCACTCCTCCTCCTCCTCCGCTCCTCCTCCTCCTCCTACTCCTCCCCTCCTCCTCCTCCCCCTCCTCCTCCCCCTCCTCTCCCCCTTGCCTCCTCCCCTCCTCCCCTCCTCCTCCTCCTCCTCCTCTCTCCTCCTCCTCCTCCTCCTCCTCTCCTACTCCCACCAGTGTATTATTGTTTACGACGGCACGGGACCCCGGACGACGAATAGCTGTCTCCTGGGTCAAAGAGGGCAACCAGTCGGCCCAGAGACGTTACCGTGACACGGAGCGCCTCGAAGATAGCCACAGCTTCCACCTGCGACCTCGGGCCTCCCCTCGCTATCGTCGCCTCCTCGCTTACCTCCCGGAGCAGGAGGAGGAGGAGGAGGAGGAGGAGGAGGAGGAGGAGGAGGAGGAGGAGGATTCAAAGAACAGTGGAGTGCGAGCTGGGCGAGGGAGGGTCCGGGAACGGGGGGCCCGTAGGCCCTCGAGGCGGTCGGCGCCCCCGTCCGGCCCGGCGGGGCCTGGCGCGCCTGCACGCGACAGCGCGCCACCAGCTGCGAAAAGGGAAAAGGGAAAGGGAGGAGGAGGAGGAGGAGGAGGAGGAGGAGGAGGAGGAGGAGGAGGAGGAGGCGGAGGGGGAGGAGGAGGAGGAGGAGAGAGGAGGAGGAGGTGGAGGAGGAGGGAGGAGGAGGGAGGAGAGGAGGAGGAGGAGGAGGAGGAGGAGGAGGAGTTGTCCCCCACTTGCTGCCTTCATGGGGGGCTCCTCGTACCCTCCCAGGAGCATCAGAAACGAACCCGGGTGGGAAAACGGCCCTGGCGAAGTAGTCGAAACCTCCGGGGCCCCACCCTGACTCCAGATCCGCCCTACTTTGGCTGTTTTCCCAACTGAAAACTGCGTCGGAAGTCCGCCCATAAGAGGCCGAACAAGCAGGGCGGAAGTTTCTCTGCACCCAGCCTAAGGTAGGGCGGGAGGCCACAGAAGCAGGGCGGAAACAGCAGCAAAATTGGCATCAGCGGGGCTTGAAAAGTAAGGCGGAACTTCCAAGCCCTGCTTACGAGTTTCCCCAGAGTAGGGCGGATCCGGAGCCAGGGCTGGCGAAGTATATGTCGAGACCTCCGGGGCCCCCATCTTCAAATACACCGAGGCGGCAGATGCCCCAGCGCGCTTGCGGCGACCGCGGGCCCCTGCACGAAACGCATCGCTGGGCCCCTCCACCCTCGCCCCGCGGTCCAGGGCAGAGCGAGCCGGCTGACCCAGACATCTTACGTCCGCAGTTGCCTCGATACGCCCGCTTTGATCCCGTGTTCAAGACGTCCGTGCCAATACGTTGCGCGGTAGCGCTTCCCGTATCGGACCACGTTTGGGCGAGTGTGCCGCGTCGGGCCTGCGTCTTCAGCCCAGGCGCTGAGCTCCGTGTCCATACGCTACGTGTTGCGTGCTGCGCACCGGGGCAGCTAAGCCTACGGCACGACTGTCCGATGAAGCGTGCCCTCCGGAGCTTTCGACCCCGCTCGCAGGGCAACTTTCCAGCCCATCCCTCGATGCCCTGCCCTGGCTCCTGATCCGCCGTACTTTGGATGATTTTCCGACCTAAAATTGTGTCGGAAATCGACGCCAAAGGAGCCTCCAGGGCGGAAATCGACGCTCAAAGGGGCCTCAAAAGTAGGGCGGAAATTTCCGCCCTACTTTCGAAATCGCCCAAAGTAGGGCGGATCAGGAGTCAGGGTGAAGCGTGCCCTCCGGAGCTTTCGACCCCGCTCGCAGGGCAACTTTCCAGCCCATCCCTCGATGCCCTGGAGCCCCGAAGCGGGCCCCGGAAGGCCGAGCAGTTGCAGCAGAGCCGTCGCGGCAGCGGTCTCGTGAAGCCAGAGGGTCGAAGAAGGAGTCGGGGGTGGACAGAACCCCCAACAGTGACACGTCGATTAGTGAATTGTCCGTTTTCGGTTCTCGAGAGGGCCCCGCGGCCGTTATTTTCCAGGCTTGCGCCCGCCAGGTTTGGGCCTCAGGTCGTTTTCACTAAACCACGTTTTACTAAAGGGGGGTCTGTCCATCCCCGAAGGAGGCAGCTCGATGCAGCTTCTTTCCGCCTCCCACGTCGCAGCTGTTTTGCAACGTGTGCCCCCGGATATCTCGACGCCTCCTTGCAGACCCCCATTTTGACGGCTATAGGAGCGCCGAGCCGCCGTTCTGACGGTTCAGCCTTCGATTTGGCGGTCGGCCGCCAGAACGGCGGTTCGACCGCCAGAATGGCGGTTCGACGGTCATTTTGGCGTCCGCCGCGAGAACGAACGTTGATCTGGCGGCCCGAAAAAAAAAGATCCTCTGGGTGTTTCGTCCTGGAGCGTTTCCGACGGCCCCGGGAGAAGGGCACGGCCTGCGAAGGTCGAGCTCTGGAGAAGCAAGACAGATGTTCCCCGCCGCTGGGAACCAGTATTAGGTCGGGCCTGTCCCCCTACAGGGGGATTTTCGACGAAGAATAAAAAATACCCTTTCAATCATCAAAACATACTCCAAAAATAGTGTGGGGACTAGTTTTTCAGTATTCTTTGACATGTTTGGGGTATTTTTTGGGTATTGCTTATTTTTCGTCGAAAATCCCCCTGTAGGGGGACACGCCCGACATAAAACCAGGAGCTCTTTCCCTCCCAACGAACGACAGCGGCGACGGCGGGGGTGGCTGCGGACGTGACGGCGACGTAGACGGACGACGACGGCGACGGCATCGGCGGCGACGATGCCGACGAGGTCGGCGACAGCAACTGCCGCCTCGCCGGCCGCGCCAGCCCCTTCTCCAGGTGCCCCGACGTGGAGGCGCACCAGGGGGACCTGAAGGTCGTGGTCGAAGTCCACGGGTTCGCCCTAGTCAGCTACAACGCTGGGATCAGCGCTTGCGAGAAGGGCGAGCAGTGGCAGCGGGCTCTGGCGCTGCTGAGCGAGATTCGCGAGGCGAAGCTGGAGCCCGACGTCATCTGTACTACAATTCCGGGCGAAGCGCGTGCGAAAAGGTCAAGCAGTGGCAGCGCCCCGGGCCGCCCAGAGAGCTCGCGGGCCGCCCGGAGAGCCTCTGGGCCGCTGCCCGACGGGCCCGGGAGGCCCGGACCGCTCGCGGACTGATCCAGGATTCCCAGATCGCCCCAAGACGGACTCACAGACACCCACAAGGGCCGAAGCCGACCCGACCGAAGCCCCCTGACGGCCCCAAAAGGCCTAAGAGACGGCCCCCGAGGACCGCCTGGACGGCACCAAGGGGCAACACTTATCCGTTTTCGGAAGGTTTCGAGGGTTTTCCTCATCCCGCCACTTCGGGACCACAACGGCCCAGGATGGCCCCAGGGGGCTTCCCACATCGCCCCTGCGCGGTCCAAGAGGGCCCCAGGAGGGCCCCCAGACGGCCCGAGAAGGCCCGTAGACGGCCCAAGAGGGCCCTAAGACGGCCCAAGAGAGCTTCAAGTGACTCCCACGTCAGCCCCAACCAGGCCCCAGACCCCGCCCGACTGGGCCCAAAGCGACCTCCGAAACGGCCCGAGACCCCAAGGAGGTATTGGGGCCATCTTGGGGGTCTCGGAGGTCGCTTTGGGCCCTCTTGGGCGGCACCGAGGCCCGCAAACGTGCCCCCCTCACTCTGAGTGTGCCTGAAAATCCTTGTTTTTTGCTAATCGCGCCTAGGCCTGGCGCGATTAGCAAAAACCCATCTCTTTTCACGCTTCCAGGTCAGTGCCCCCGGAGCTCCCCGACTGCTTTCCGGGGTGGCCCCCAGACGTGGCCTGTAAACGTCGGCCCCACGTGGCCCCCAAACGGGACCCCCAAAGGCGGCCCCCACACAAAGCCTCCGAAGGTCGCCCCTACCGCCCCAGTAAGCGTGGCCCCCGAACGTCACCCCCACGCGTAGCCCCCAGGCGCCCCCAAACGTGGCCCCCACACAGCCCCCAACCATTGCCCTCAAACGTGACCGTCACATGTGCCTCCGAAGGTCGCCTCTACCGCCCAAGGGACGCCAGAGCTGTTCAACGTCGACGAGCTGGTTACCTACGGTGTGCGAGTCCCAGGCTCAGCACGCCGTGGATTTGATCCACGGGCTCACACTAGTCAGCTACACCGCTGGGATCAGCGCTTGCGAGAAGGGCAAGCAGTGGCAGCGGGCGCTGGCGCTGCTGAGCGAGATTCGCGAGGCGAAGCTGCAGCCCAATGTCATCTGCTACAGCGCTGGGATCACCGCTTGCGAGAGTGGCGAGCAGTGGCAGCAGGCTTTGGCGCTGCTGAGCGAGATGCGCGAGGCGAAGGTGCAGCCCAACGTCATCTCCTCTGCAAAGCAGGAGCCCATGCGCGCCAGAAGGTGCGGCGAATCAATTGGTTTGTTCTACCTCCGAGAGGCCCCGGGAGGCCGACAGGCGCCCCCAGGGGCAGCTTAGACGGCACTGCAGGCCTCGGGCCACGCCCCCATACACAGCCCAACAGAACCCAAAGGCGGCCGAAGAGGCGCCCGAGACGGCCTAAGTTAGCTCGACGACGGCTCACGAGGCCCCCGAGACGCCCGCAGAGAGGTCCAAAAGGGCCCCAAGACAACCCCGGGAAGGCCAACATCGCTTCAATTCATTTCAATTCATGTCGATTCTTGGAGACAAACAGCACGTGTTGCATATTGGTTGTTTCTTCGTTTTCGCAGCGCCCCAGCAGGCCCCAGATGCCCCAAAGATTCCCCCAAAGACGGCCCCATTACGGGCCGAGAGGCACCCATGACGGCCCAAGAGGACCCCGACAAGATTCTAAGAGCCGCGCAGGACGGCCCAGGACGGCTCCCAAGCGGCCCCAGAGGCGCGCCAGAGAGCCGAAGACGGTCACAAGACGGCAAGTAGCCCCCAAGGCGGTCAATGAGGGTCCCAATGCAGTCGAGCATCTGATTGAGAGACCTCCTCCGAGAAAGCTGGGCCAGCGTTTCTTCGCCAACTTAACTTGCCGTGGAACTAACCGGCCCAACTTTTCCAGTGCGTTCGCCCCTCCAGCGTTAACAGCAGAAGTTGGCCTAGGTTTATTTCATCGCTTCGCTCATTCCTCCGGCCCATTTTCGCGCACCGGGAGGCAGTGCACAGGAAGCTCTTGGGAGTTCTCCGAGGCTTTCGGGGACGTCGTAACCTGTAGCCTTTTTGGGGCTCTTGGGGACCTCTTGGGTGCCTCCTGACGCCCTGTTGGGGGCCTCTTGGGGCCTCTCTGGGGACCTCCGGGGGGCTGCTTATGGCCGAGGGCTCGAAATGTTCTTTCGTGTTCCCCTTCTGGCTCTGGGGCCTCTCTTGGGGCGTTCTTGGGGCCTTCTTGGGCCGTCTTGGAGTCGTCTTGGGCGGTCCTGGAGCCGTCTTGGGGCTCTCTTGGGGCCCTCTTGGACCCTCTTGGAGCGATCTTGAGGACCTCTTGGCCGTCTTGAGGCGTCGGGAAGCCGAAAAGGGGGAAACGCCCAAATCTGTCCAAAACCTATAGGCATCTTGGAGCGACCTTGTGGCATCTCGGAGCCCTCTTGTTCTATCTTGGGAGCCTCTTGGGGGCCTCTTTGGCCCTTCTTGGGGCTTTCTGGAGGGCCTCGAGGGCGGCGCCCACCCGACCCGACCCGGCCGGGGATCTCTGACCCGAACCGGCCGGGGACTGCCGAGGGTACTTTTCGTCAGGGGACCCCCAGGGGCCGCTCCGCGCGCGCGAAGTAGAAATACTGGACGCAGTTACGGTTAAGTCGGGCCTGTCCTTCTACAGGGGGAATATTCAAAAATAGTCAAAAAATAGTCTGGGGATCCCCCTGTAGGGGGACACGCCCGACTTAAAGTAACGCCTCTGGCCCGTTGGGCCCGCGAATTTGCAGAAACTTCCGGGAAGTTGGCGCAGGTTTCTTACATGGTGATTTTCGGAAACTGGAGCATGTAAATTACCAGTGGCGGGCGGTGTCTCAATCCCAGGTCTTTTTGAGCGGCGGGGGCGACGTCGGGGTGGTGTGGTGTATACTTGTTTCCCCGTTTTCCCGCGGAAGCAAAAAATGTATACACCAGGATGCCGTATACACCATAAGCCGCTTTCTTGTGCGAATCTCAGTGCGGGACCGGAAAAAGCATCGGTGTAGAAAGTTCTGTTCCTTAAATTGTCTTGATTGCACCTTCGGCTGCAAGGCACTGTAAGGCCAGAGGAGGCCCTTGGAGGCCCCCACACAGCTACCAGGCGGCCCCAGGGGCCTTCACGCTCGTCTCCACGGGGGAGGGCGGAGCAGAGGCGAGATCACTCCGGTTTCTTCGGTGCTCACTGCAGTGATTATATATCATTGATATTTTATATACTGATTTTGAAATCTGTTGCCCACCATTTTAAATTTTCACTGATTTAGAATTTTCCCGCCGCGAGCTTTTTCATGGGAGTCCCGACTGATATGTTCGGATTGGATCGCCCCGCCGCCGTTTTTCCGCTCATGTCAGTGAGTGATTATGTATATTTGTCTCGCCGCCGATTTTTTTCTGATATGCAGTTCTTTCTTGTGGTAACGGCGTGATGAGGCGAGAGGTTTTCTGCGCAGGCCCAGCAGGATCGTTGCAGACGCTCCCTGGGGCCCCGGGCTCTTCCCCCCCTGGAGCAGCACAGCAAGCAGAGGCAGCAGGCACCAGCATGCCGCAGGCAGCAGCACCCTGCAGCAGCAGGCGGCCCCCGGCAGAGGCGAGGTCCGGGCCCGGCGCCATCACGGACGTCTCTGGGCAGCGTCTCTGCCCCGGCCCCGCGTGCCTTCTGGGGCAGACTTCGTGGCGGGCATCCCTGACTCCTGATCCGCCCTACTTTGGGCGATTTCGAAAGCAGGGCAGAAATTTCCGCCCTACTTTTGAGGCCCCTTTGAGCGTCGATTTCCGCCCTTGAGGCTCCTTTGGCGTCGATTTCCGACACAATTTTAGGTCGGAAAATCATCCAAAGTACGGCGGATCAGGAGCCAGGGCCGCGTGCCTTCTGGGGCAGACTTCGTGGCGGGCATGGGTCTGCACCGGTTCTCGATCGGAAGTGCACCCCAAACGACGCGAAGCAGTATGGCGGAGATGCCCGCCTCGGGGAGAGATAGATAGCGCGGATACTTCCGCAGAAGTGGGGCGACAGCAGCGACCGCAAAGCGGGGCGGAAGTCGGCATCAAAGGAACCCCACAAGCAGGGCGGAACTTTCCGCCCTGCTTGCGAAGCCAACCAAAGTACGGCGGGTGCGAAGTCGGGGCGAGGCCCAGCGAGGAGCGAGGGCCGCCCAGGGCCGAGAACGGCCAAACACCGCCCGTCCTGATTTTTTGTACGACGCCGTCATGGCTGGGCCCACGTCATGTAGCGTGCTCTGGAGCTCTGGCACGCCCTGGCTCCTGATCCGCCGTACTTTGGATGATTTTCCGACCTAAAATTGTGTCGGAAATCGACGCCAAAGGAGCCTCAAGGGCGGAAATCGACGCTCAAAGGGGCCTCAAAAGTAGGGGCGGATGAAATTTCTCCCGCCCACATACGAAAATCCCCAAAGTAGGGCGGAATCGAGTCAAAGGAGGGCGGGCGTCATACATCCTCCCACCTCCACTTTCTCCTTTCCTCATTCCTCTCTTTCCTCATTCCTCCATCCTCCCACATCCCAAATTTCCCCAGCTTTCGTTTCGTTGGGGAACTTGCGCGAGCGGGTCCTGCTGGCGAAAACAAAAAAAAAGAAAGGCGCCGGAAAAAAACAAAGAAGCACAGCGGACACAAAAAAAAAGCGCCCCCCGCCCCGCCCCCCAAAAAAAACAGTAAAAATAAGCGCCGCCGGCCCGCGCGCCCCCCCTTGCAGAAGCATGCAGAGGGAGAGGGCCTCCTAGAAAGCGTTGAAGACGTCCGTCTGTTCGTCCCGCTCTCAACCGATCTCTGGGAGCAGCTTGGAGGCCTCTTGGGCTCTCGTGGGGGCCGCTCGGAGGTATCCTCGAGCCTCCTACGGGGTCTTCAGGGTGACTTGGGGGCCGTCTTGGGCGCCTCGGGGTCAATGTTGGCCCGCTTTGGGGCCGTCATGGGCGCCCCCTGGACCGTCGTCGGGCCGTCGGAGGCGGCTCTTGAGCCTCCTGAGCGTTGAAGACTGTCGTCGTCAGTACGGCGGCTCCGAAGTCGCGGGGGCCTCCTACATGGCCGGCAGAAGCGCGCGCCGGAAGGAAAAGAGGCCAACTCTCAGCAGAGCCCTCGGGGGGAGGGGCGCCCGCGCGCTCCGGGGCGGGCCCCGAGGCGCTCCACGACGGCCTCGCCGGGCCTCCCCGCGGAGGCTCGAGGGCCCCCGACGGCCCAGAGGCGGTCCAGGGCGGCCCCGAGGCGCTCCACGACGGCCTCGCAGGGCCTCCCCGCGGAGGCTCGAGGGCCCCCGGCCGGCCCAGAGGCGGTCCAGGGCGGCCCCGAGGCGCTCCACGACGGCCTCGCAGGGCCTCCCCGCGGAGGCTCGAGGGCCCCCGGCCGGCCCAGAGGCGGTCCAGGGCGGCCCCGAGGCGCTCCACGACGGCCTCGCAGGGCCTCCCCGCGGAGGCTCGAGGGCCCCCGGCCGGCCCAGAGGCGGTCCAGGGCGGCCCCGAGGCGCTCCACGACGGCCTCGCAGGGCCTCCCCGCGGAGGCTCGAGGGCCCCCGGCCGGCCCAGAGGCGGTCCAGGGCGGCCCCGAGGCGCTCCACGACGGCCTCGCAGGGCCTCCCCGCGGAGGCTCGAGGGCCCCCGGCCGGCCCAGAGGCGGTCCAGGAGGGCCTCCGAGACGGTCCAGGAGCGCTCGAAGACGCTCAAGGTAGCCTCCGGACGGCCCACGGCGCCCCCAGAATGCTCCAAGTGGGCTCCCAGAAGACGCCCGGGAGAGAGCTCGCACAAGCAAACATCGTCCCAAAACTTTTTGGGAAGACGCGTATGTTCGCGACTCCCGTGCTCTTCGTTTTCAAAGCGTCTGAGAGGACAATCCACACCCCGAAGACGCCCCAGGAGCGCCCTGCGAGAGCCCCAAGACCGCCCAAGCCTTGGACGGCCCAAGACGGCCCCAGGACCGTTCCTGAGGCGCCCACGCCCGAGATCACCCATAAGACAGCCCCAAGAGCGGCCAAAGACGGCCCAAGACGGCCCCAAGCCGGCCCCAGAGGCGTCCAAGATTGCCGCAGACGGCCCCAAGACGGCCCCAGGGGCACCCAAGACGGCCCAAGAGGCCCCCAGGAGGCCGCAAGACAGTCCAAGGGGGTCCCAAAATGCCTCCAGGAGGCCGAAAAGAAGCCCCAAACGGTTCCCAAGGAGAAGGAAGCGCCCGCCATCAGTGGCCGCATAGGGAGCGT